ATGAAGTACCAGATTCCTCAAGATTACTGAGGCATGTGACTATTAATAGTAATCAAAATATTGTGATGTGAGATCAGACAATCGGTGGTATGTATTTTCTGCTTTTACTGTCCTGATAAAAAGAGCCCTGATGTCATTATTTCATGTAGTGTGGTTTCATTAATTCTAACACACTTCACATTTCAAGTTCTTAAGTAATAGTCAGAGAAAAGTCAAGCTGTTCACATTATTCCCAAACCTTGTTACTTATCTTTTTAATGACATACTGCATAGTGCTAATGTTACGAATTTATTCTTACAGCTTCTCTTTCAAAGCGTGCACTCTCGACTGTGGTACATAAAATGAAAAATAAAGCTGAAGTTGTATTGTTGATGATAAGCTGTGAGCAGCCATTCAAGGAAAAGGACTATTCATTTACATACAGATCCTGTTAAAATGACATTGTGATTGTCCATGTTTATCAGCTGTTCATCAGATCAGCTCAGTTCAGCCTTCCAAGCTCAGCTGGGATCTAAAATTAATCTGGCCCTCTGCCTTACATGCACCATTTAGCAGGATTAAAGGCTTTACTAATAAAGACCAGGCACTTATTAATATAACACCTCATGTTCAGATTATGCTCTCACTGGCATCTTTGTGTTGTGTTATGCATTATAGCCAATTTTGACTTTGTAAATGACTGCCTGTTCGTTAATGGTACAGAGACAAAACAGGCTACTTTCTGCCTACTTGGCTGTGCAGTGATCACAGGAATAAGCCAGTAAACTCCCATTAAGTCATTTATTTAACAGACTTGCTCCTGAATATGCACAGGGAGCAGATCTGATAAATCAAATACTTTTTTTCCCATATCTGCTTTACGAAGACAAAACAGCATTTCACTATGGCAATTTCCACCCTGTAAAGAGACAATAGCATTTCACCATGCCAATCTACAATGGTCCCACAGCAACTACTCCTGTGCACCATTTTAGTTCTCTAACTTAAGTGCTGATATTAGCAAAATAGTATTCTTAGGCTTTGCCTTTAGGCAATGGAGAGAGAGAGACCAGTTCTTGGGGCACTAAGAGGAATATTGAATTTAACTGTTCTCTGAAAGGGTCTGGTTTTCACCAACTGTGCTAGAAAACTAAGTTCCTTAGTTGCAGCTGCAAATAATTCCCAGAGTGTAAAGACTGACCACACAGCTTTCACGTTCACGAAGAAATAGAATTATTAAAACATGTAACAGACCTTCACAGTGCACAGATGACTTCAGAGCTTTTTTTCTGATTTATCCTCAGATTGGTAAAAAGGCAAGACACGGTGCTCAGCACTCTGTGGTGTTATGGAGTCAAGCCCTGTTCTCCTGTGACTTGGAACTGTAGCACATCCTGCAGTGCCCAGCACACCCTGGGAAAAGGCCAGCACTGCCAGACTCTGGAGTTCAAATGTCACAGCCTAGATCTTCAATCAGCAAGGTACTGATCTGCTGACCATGAGTAGGATCAAAGTCACACAAAACTCAGTGAAGCCCAAGACAGCACTCCAAGCTACCGCTTGCCAATGCTGCCTACAGGGGCAGATAAGAGAGAGAGGCAGGCTGTCCCACCTTGATGGCTACAGCACACAGCTGAGAGAAGGTAGAACTGTGCTTCCAGACCAAGCTCCCTATAACATACACACCTTTTACGCCAGGTGTATGATGTATTACAGCTATGAGATGATATTAACAGAACCATGCAAAGGATAAGAATGAAAGTTCTTCTCAGCTGATCATCTGAAAGTCATATTACATCAAAGGTGCACATTCTTCAGCAGTTGCTTTAGGTAAAACGACTGTAATATTGAGAAAATGGAAATGCACAAAACATAATTTTCTTATTTCAAAGAAAGCAAATGTTTCACTGAAAATAAGAACAGGCAGCAGAGAAGGGCTGTTCAGCTCATTACTTAAGAGAAAATAGACTGTCTTTTCCTTTTTAAAATATGGTTTTAATGGTGTTGCTAAAGCAACAAGTAACCAATATGGTATTAACTCACAAGACAGAGTTTGACAAGAATGAGGTGAGGTTTGTACCTATATTTATCCCTCTTAAATGAGAGGTTTAGCTGTTCTAGGGAAATAGAAAAGATTACTTAGACATTATTTCATTCATCACTACCAAGTGGACCATTTAATGGAGCTGGATATAACAAATTAAAAAAAAAAAAGGGTAGGGGCAGATGAAAAACAGAAGTGAAATAAATTCACAAACTAGTGGGTAGAAGATCCTTAGTATTGTCCGAGGTCACTGTAAAATGTCTCAATATTAAAAAAAAAAAAGGAACCTGCCGTCTTTTAAAGAAGAGAAAGTTAAACAAATTCAGGGTGTTGGTGATTGGCATCAAGAAATAAAAAAGGGGCAATGATGGTAAATTATTCCTCATGCTATAGAGCATCCTGTTTGTATGTACTTTACACAGCTCTGTTGGTTTTGTGTTAGCATCCACCTAGGAGAGAGCCCATTGTAAGGTGGCTGGAAGGAGGAGGAGGGGGAGTGAGACTGTCACAAGGTCCTTGCTCCTTTGTGATGACATACAGCATGCACACCATCAGACAGAGTTAACAGGGAGTGGCAGTCCTTCACTTTGGTAAATCTACTCCCAGTAATCAATGAATACAATTATCACTATAATAAAGAGACGTTAGTAGTACTGAGCTGCAGCACGCTCAGCTTCATCAGTTCTCATGGCAACTCTTCACCTGCTCTTGTACTCAAAAGCAGTAACAGTGTTTATTAGAGCTGTAAATTTGTTAATCAACATTATCATCAATAAAAACAAGCCTGCAGTGCCTTTACTGTTTGCAGTAATTGCCATGTTTTTCCATCTTGAAATCACTCTACAAGCTGTTGTTAATTAACCAGTCCTCTTGAAGTACACAAATAACATCAACATTTTATAACAGAAGAGGTGAGGCAGGCTCAGCAGTTGATGTGTGTCAGGCAGCTTGGGAAATCAAGTTAGAAAGAGTCCCACCATTCCACTGGCATGTCCAGATTACATCCCTTCTTTCAAAAACCGAAATCTTAACATCAGTAATTTTTGTTGCAGACTCTAAAGATCAAAAGAAAAAGAAGACATAAACTAGAAAAGAACATTCTCCCTTTCAAAGTGGCTGTGTAGTAATTGAAATGCTGTTTTTCCTGAGGACAAGCTACAGTCTTTGCCACAAGTACCTTTTGCTGCTGTCACTTGTGATAACCCAGAGTAAAGCAAAGGACCTAAGGCTGGATACCAGCTGTCATTCAAAAAAAAAAAAAAAAAAGCTTCACTTCCTCAAAATTCTGGCTTGAAGGTTTCTTTTGCTGACATCTCTGAAATGATACCATTGAAAACACCAACAAGCAGCACCACTTTCCCTCTGCCTAGGGTGTTCTCCAGGATGCCATTTTGATGGGTAAGGAAGCTGCTACAAGTCCTCAGCTGAATTCACACATTAGCCCTCTAACCACAGCAATGGGTAAAACATAGATCTGAGACACAGGAACATCTGGGGGCCACATGTAAAAAGGAGGTATAAGGTCCACCAAAGCAAGTCAACACCTCTAGATCAAAAAAAAATAAGCACCTCTTTGTCACATGAACTGGTGGTAGATATTATTGTGTCAACTGCAATCTCTAAAAGTACCAGAGAGTCAAACAGATCAGTTGACAGCGAAAACTGATACCTAATGCAGCAGCTACACTGGCACCTAATGAGGCCTTTCAAGTATCTTACACAGCTATGACTTCTTGCTCCCTCTCTCCCCATCTCCAGCTCCCACATTATTTACTTGACTTTGGCTCAGAGTTCTGAAGTGTAACATGAGACTAAACACATACACAATAAAGAATAGCTGATTTAAGACTTACAATATGTGGCTGAGCAAAAGGCTTACCAACAGCTAGAAGTACATTTGGGCAAATTAAGACTTCCTGGAGGAGAGCCAGGTCAGTGTTGACACTGCTGCAGCCATATGGACTGCTGTTAAATGAAACACTTATGTTAACATGAACATCTGGCGATTGCAAAGGTAAAGAATTCAGCAGAAGACCCTACTGGTTGAACTAAGTAACACTCAACTGAAAGAAAAGGAAACAGAAGATGAATGAGAATGCATCCTCTTCTTTATTCTTTCTTTTATAGTATCCTTTGATGTTACAAGGAAGGTTAAGATACAGTTTTATTTGTTAATTTTATCTTACTTTGTTCAAGATCAAACAGGCTGTATTTTATGCACTTCAAACACGGAGCAAGGAACAATTAAAACTGTCGTCTATCAGAAAAAGGTCATGTTGCTTCTAAAGCGCCCATCAACTGTCAGATCTGCTAGAAATATTTCAAGAGAAATTAAATCACCTTGGGAGCTCCTGATTGCTTAATGAAGCCCAAAGCTTGAGACAGGATCAAACACAACTAAGGTGCTGTG